TATGACACATATAGGTTGCTTATTTAATATTCAAAATAACCACTGAATATGTGTCTTCTGGGTGTTTATATGTGGTGATTATAATGGTAAAACAGTGCTAAAATTGAAATTTTTTTTCTTTTTTGTCTTACTGTGTGCTACATGTACTGCCATGACTGACTGGATCTTGAAAAGTGTTTTGCTCTAAATCTATCATAAGACAATGTGTCAGACTGCAAGAAAGCATATTCATAATCATTCAACTCTTTAGATGTCTGGTTCCTATCACCACTATTATAATAAATTCTAGCTTGCTGCCTTTCTCTAATACAAAAAGAGTATTTCACATCAAAGCACTCTAAAGTGCTATATTTACATTTTAACCATCTAATTATGCACAATATAGGCATATAATGAAACATAGCACATTATTAAGGCTAATATATATATATATATATATATATATATATATATATATATATATATATATATATATATATTAATCTTGGCTTGGAGTGGGCTTCATCCATGCTGCTTGAGCAATATAGAACGTATCGAGCCAAATAGTGCTCAAACTGTCCACACAGTGCAGTCATATGTGAACACTATCATCCTAATATAATGGAAATCTCTGATATGCAACTAATGGTATCCACTTGTGATTCAGGTGACATAAACACTAACATTGCTCCATGTTCGCTGTTCATTTGCAAGTATCAGGTGACGGCTGTTTCAGAGACCTCAGTACAAACCATTAGCCTTGTCGACACTACTTGAATTTTGAAAAAACCCTTTGCCTTAGAATATATGCGTATACCATAGTTCACACCCTGGTCTCCAGTGAGTGGCTTCAGACACTTCTTTGAGTCACTGTAGGTTTTTCCTTTTGTACAGAACTCTAATCCTCATGACTGATTTTTAAATCCACACTGAGGTGTCAGACTGAAACACTACTTCATGTAGGTTGTTTTTAAAATGAACCTGAGAACAGCTTTTCTTCCTTAGGCCTAATGCATGCACATAGCTAATGAAGTTTTGTAAAAAAATGAAAAAACGATGTAAAGAGATTTGTAGATTTGTTACTGTGTGAACTTTTCTTTTGCATTTGATAATTTTAGAACTAAAAGTGATGCAGCCTTTTTAATAAATCTCAACACAGCAGTCTTCATGTTTTCTCCTTCACTGTTATTGATCGTCATAAGTAGTGGTCATACACATGTCTGTAGTTCCCTCAGCCTTTTCTTCAGCTCCAAAAAGCAGGTCCAAATCTATATGCTGCATCTATACGCATACATTCACTTAAGAGGAGTGAATTCAATGGTTAAGATAAACTCAATTGGGATGGTTAATTCTATAGAAAGCAAGAGTTTAAAACCTCTAAAAGCTACATCACAAAAAGCTGTTACATGGTTAAGAGTATGAGACATATGATACCTGAAATGATGTTTCATGATTGTTTTAAGATTATTATGTGTTGTAAGACAATGTACTAGGTTCTCCGGTGGTTTTGTATAGAATGTAAAATTTATATAAATAAATTGTATATTTGTGTAGACATCGTGCGTTGTGGCATATTCCAGACTTTATTCAAATTCAAATTTGACAATTCACATGCAAATTTGAAGATGTATTTGCAATTGCATTTCCTTGACGTAATGCTTTAGCCCGCCAAAATAAAAATGCAATTACAATCCTATTCACAATTGCATTTCACTCTCAGCAAGGCACTCTTGTCAGTCAAACACTGTGGGCGGGACATCAGAAGGGACTATTTGGTGCAAGGCGTGGTTTAAAAGGAAGTGATGAGTTTAAACTTTGGTTGTTCTGGAGCAGAGATAGATGCTTCTTTGATACAGTACAGAGCTAGCATTACTAACAACTGAGTGATATTTTAACTCTCACCAACCAGGCCAAGGAGAATTCAGTCCTAGGTGATGTTTGTGTGGAAGTGACTAGTGGTGACTAGGAAAGCTCATGGCTGCGCAATAGGAATATCAAAGTTAGTGAGACTGTTGTCACTAATTGGTGTTCTGACAAATTCTGCTACTGTAAATGTCCTACTGTGGACAAAGCTTATGGCAGCTTCTTTTTTGATTTTCCTGTTCCACCTCAAATGCTGCAGCCTGAAGTGCCAGAATGTAAGTGTTGCACCATTTAAGGTGGAATACAAAATTTCAACAAGGAGCTGGCAAATAATTTGCTGACTCCAGCTTTGCGTACTGTAGCAATATTTATAGGTAGCTCCCTGCATAAAACTCAAGGCAGAGAATCTTAGGACTGTCGGAGTATGTGGATGGCCAATGATAGATATTCCTATTTAGGAGGTGGAGGAAGGCGTGGGTTAGTGCAGTGTTTCCCAACCCTGCTTACTTAACAATGGAAACTTAACAACAGATGATTTTGGAAAACTGGGCCGCCCAGCTTAATAACAACCCCTGACTATTTGTAATAAGTATGCTAAAGCAGTGAAAGCACTAAACTCACGGCAGTGTTTCTCAGACAGTCCTGTGAGCCACCCTAATAATATAATATAATATAATATAATAAACAGCCCCTGCGATGGACTGGCGACCTGCCCAGGGTGTATCCTGCCTTCCGCCCAGTGACAGCTGGGATAGGCTCCAGCACCCCACCGTGACCCAGAAGGATAAGCGGTTTAGTTGATGGATGGATGGATAATAAACAGCTTTCTTAGTTGATTAAGAATCACATCCACATAAAAATCACTTGGGCAGAATTCTCTTCGCACGGTTATTGAGTGTTAAAATGTCACTAGCAGTTGCTGCCACTGCCAGCTCTGTGTTGTATACCTTATATATATTATATACCATATAGGAAAGTCTGTTCACTCGGCAGCCATCTTTGCAACGCTTATTTCCAGCCATACAAGACCAGATTCCTCTCTGTCTTTAAATAGGGAGAGAGACCAAAATCCTCAAAACTGAAGGTCAAATTAATATTAAAAATATTTGAACATATTGGTAAAATCTGACAAAAACTCCAAAAGTCTGTACCATTTGGCTCGGTGATACACAAAAAAATGTGTGTTGTTCTGGCTACTGTTCTTATATGGCTGTTCACAACAATGCTCGCGGCATAACCAGCTAGCTGATTGACACTTTTTCCTGAAGGTGGGAATTTCTCTGCAAACAAATGCCGTGTTGAGTGTTTTGAGCTTTCCCGTTCATATTTTATCCAGTGACTAGTCTCTTCATTTATAACGTCACTGATTACATTTACATTTACATTTACATTTACATCATTTAGCAGACTAAATGATGCTTGATTAAACAAGCATCTATCTCTGCTCCACAACCACCAGAGTTTAGACTCGTCACTTCCTCTTAAAACATGCCACTGCACTAAAAATTCCCTCCTGATGTTCCACTCACAGCGTTTGATGGACAGAAAACCTCTCTCTCAACACAGTTGCTTTTAGCAGTCTTCATGTTTTTTGCTTAATGGTTTTTGACCATTGTGCACAGAAATACAGATACACATTTTACATCTGAACTTGAATGTCTTTAATAATGCAGCCTCACAATTTTCAAATTTCAAAGTCCAGAATGTGCTGCAATAATCCTGAACCCTGGTTCCCATTACCACTACTGCAGGTAGCGCATACACAGGTAATGTATATAATTTTGTACGTAGCAAGCAAGCAAGCAAAGTTTATTTATATAACAGGAATATTATGTTTTAAATTGCTATTAAGTAGTTGCTATTTTGTGATGTGGACAGAACATATGTGTGTGTGTGTGTGTATGTGTATTTAGTTATATATACACATACACACATAAACCATTTCTACAAAAGAAGAAGAAATCACTGAAGGGTAACCAGACTTTTCAAATTATGCAAAAATTTTAAAATGTAATTCTTTTCATGTGAGTGTTTGTCCATATGCTTGAAGTGTGACCCTTGTTGATTCAGTCTGTAACTAGTTGCGGGTGTGTGTGGGTGTGAGTGGGTGTAAATGTCAAAGCATTTCCTGTGCATGTCAGGCTGTCTGACATGAGGAAGCACATGGTCGACCAAGCCTCCATTTGCTTGCCACTCAGTGTACATACGAAAATATATATATATATATATAGAGAGAGAGAGAGAGAGAGAAAGAGAGAGAGAGAGAGAGAGAGAGAGAGAGAGAGAGAGAGAGAAAGAGATGTGGAACTGCAACTTTTGTATTTCAGAATGTACTTCACTTGAGCTACTTAATAGATTAGCCCTTAAGATGTCACTGGGCATTCCCCTGAGGGGAAATGACAAGGCAAAGTGAATAAGGGCTTGTTAATATCAGTATTATAACAGGTGGTTAGCCTTTTTCCCCAGCTACTGGGGTATTTCAGTGAAAACTAAATTATATATTGTATACCTAACTGGGTTGCAGAGTTTTGACTAAACTATGAAGTTTGAGTTGAGTCAACCCTATTGTTCTCAATTTGAGTCAACTCATGAAGAGCTGTGTTATAAGTTAACTCATAATTTTACATTCAGTGGACTTTTTAATTTTTTATAGTGTTTGTCAGCACTTATTTCACTGCATCACGCATATCCTTAAGACTCTTAAACTAGCTACATATATTCTTTACAAATTTATAAATCATTGATGCCTATTCATGACCAGCACAGCTTGGCTATTGTCATCGCCACCAAGTTAAAGATGCTTTCATGTGATCAGGATTGTTGACACATTTATTTGTGTTTCTTGTGTGGTCAGTCATGTGAACATTATGACTCATGTTATTGCCTTAAATTTTAGTGCTAGGAAAAAAGATGTCATGAAGCAAAGATGGTGTCATCCATGTCATGTACATTTCCTTTTTTTGTGTTTGTGGTTGTTTTTCTGTAGCTGATCTTTAAGTATAGAGTTTAATGACCTGGGAGTTGCATTGTATGCAAGCAACAACAGAAAAGGAAACAACAAAACATATATCAGCAGACATGCAGTTTCCTGTAGTAGTGCAGCTGATGAAAACTGGTCCTCATTTGTGACTTACTTTCATACTAGATCTTTAAACCCCAATATCCTTTCTAAATAAGTGGACTTTTGATTATGTAACCATAAGCTAGTGGTATCACTGAAATTAAGTTTTAATATTCACATGTTCTAATGTGACTGCAGTTTCAGAGAACAACTTCCTCAATGTGCTCTGTTTCAGCCTTCCGTGTGGCAAGTGTGTAGGGGGTTGAGAAGCTCTGGAGTTTTCACCATTATTTATGTTGTTTTATTTTTCCAAAAAGTGATGAATCAATATATGGGCGTTCTAATAACCTGTGTAGTGGCTTGTTTTCATCAAGGTATGTCCATTTTTTGTACATTTGTTACCATCTTTGACATGAAATCACTTTTGCTTTTCAGTGCCTAACTTACTAATACTCTTCTACATTAATATAATCTGGCAGGATGCTGAGTTCTCATTGGCTATAAATCAAATAACTTGGGGAGATAAACATAATTAAACACTGTGTTGTGAAAGATGTAGTTTGGTATATCAGCAGTGTTGGTGGTTAGCAGCTGTTAGAGACTTTTTATATAGGAAGTACATGTTTTCCTTTGTCTAGAATGCATGACTATACACCATTTGGTAACACATTACATTAAGGGTACATCATAAGCCAGTAATTTAGGCATTCACTAATGAAGAACTAATCAGAAAGTAATGAGTCATCAATCAAGAACAAATTAATAAGTCATACATTAACAATCATTACTTCGCATTAAGTAATGCACATATTAATGAATGAAGATGAAGGTAATAAAGGTTTTCTTTAACATCTGAATTCATGAGGAATTTGTGTGTTAATTAATTAATTAATTAACACATGTTGTCACAAGATCCCCCTCAGACACAGTGCTCTGGAATATTGTATCTATCAAAGTCAACTGTAGCTCCATACTCTCATCTTGTTGTTCTGCTTCATCATGCTGTGTAAGCAACCCTTGTATTTGCCTGTTTCTATCTGTCAGGTCTTGAGTTTATTGTTTTTGATTTTTTTATGTTACCTTGTCTTTTTCTACCTGCCTAGTTAGTGTCTGTTTATTTAACAAAATTGAAACAAATGAATCTTAAGTAATATGACATGTTTTATTCATGGTTCCTATGTTGATATACAGAGCCTATGGTTAATCCTACAGTGACCACAGAACTCAGAAATTAGTTAATAATTAATAGGGAAGATGCAGTGCCTTTCTCCTAGGGTCATAAGAATCCTTAATTCTATGCACATTTTTGTGCTTTACCCTCATCTAGTACACCTGATTGAGCTCAAATGCTAATTTGCTCCAAGCTCCTGTTGTGCTGATTGAGGTGTGCCAGAGTGTGGAAAATACAATACTATAATATTATGTCTGTGGTCTAAATTGCATATATAATCGAGTATGCATATGCATAACTCCCCTGTAGAAGAAAGGAAAATGCTTTCATTTTGGACTTTTTTTATTTTAATGGTTTTCATTTGCTTCTCTTAAATGGTTTTCATAGAGATATTTACTCAAGACTATGGCCACTTGACATATACACTATATTGCCAAAAATATTCGCTCGTCTGCCTTCACACGCATATGAACTTGAGTGATATCCCATTCTTAATCCATAGGGTTTAATATGATGTCGGCCCACCCTTTGCAGCTATAACAGCTTCAACTCTTCTGGGAAGGCTTTCCACAAGGTTTAGGAGTGTGTTTATGGGAATTTTTGACCATTCTTCCAGAAGCGCATTTGTGAGGTCAGACACTGATGTTGGACGAGAAGGCCTGGCTCGCAGTCTCCGCTCTGATTCATCCCAAAGGTGTTCTATTGGGTTGAGGTCAGGACTCTGTGCAGGCCAGTCAAGTTCTTCCACACCAAACTCACTCATCCATGTCTTTATGGACCTTGCTTTGTGCACTGGTGCGCAGTCATGTTGGAACAGGAAGGGGCCATCCCCAAACTGTTCCCACAAAGTTGAGAGCATGAAATTGTCCAAAATCTCTTGGTCTGCTGAAGCATTAAGAGTTCCTTTCACTGTAACTAAGGGTCCGAGCCCAACTCCTGAAAAACAACCCCACACCATAATCCCCCCTCCACCAAACTTTACACCTGGCACAATGCAGTCAGACAAGTACCGTTCTCCTGGCAACCACCAAACCCAGACTCATCCATAGGATTGCCAGATGGAGAAGCGTGATTTGTCACTCCAGAAAACACATCTCCACTGCTCTAGAGTCCAGTGGCGGCGCTTTACACCATTGCATTCGACACTTTGCACTGTGTTTGGTGATGTAAGGCTTGGATGCAGCTGCCCGGCCATGGAAATCCATTCCATGAAGCTCTCTATGCTGTTCTTGAGCTAATCTGAAGGCCACATGAAGTTTGGAGGTCTGTAGCAATTGACTCTGCAGAAAGTTGGCGACCTCTGCGCACTATGCGCCTCATCATCTGCTGACCATGCTCTGTCATTTTACGTGTCCTACCACTTTGTGGCTGAGTTGCTGTCGTTCCCAATGGCTTCCACTTTGTTATAATACCACTGACAGTTGACTGTGGACTATTTAATAGTGAAGAAATTTCACGACTGGACTTGTTGCACAGGTGGAGTCCTTTCATGGTGGAATTCGCTGGAATTCACTGAGCTCCTGAGAGCGACCCATTCTTTCACAAATGTTTGTAGAAGCAGTCGGCATGTCTAGGTGCTTGGTTTTATACACCTGTGGCCATGGAAATGATTGGAACACCTGAATTCAATGATTTGGATGGGTGACTGAATACTTTTGGCAATATAGTGTAGCAATTATTGCAAATAATGCCACCCACTGGCAAAGAAAAATAGCTATAATTTCCAGCTATGGAAACATTTGAAGAGTTTCATTCCAAACTGCTGTGTTTCCATTACAAAAAAAAAATAGATATAAGCAAATTTTTTAAAGAATAACAGATGTATAATGGGAAACACATTTTTATCTTGTGGTATATATTTTTCATAATAATGGTGGCATATATTAAGATAATTTACAGTTTTGATTTAAGCCTTTTTTCACTAAATAAACTAAATACAACAGTTTATGTTTATGTTGTAACAGTATGACATTGCAGTGTGACATAGGTAATCATAAAGTGCATGAATAGGATAAAACTAATCAGAGCTTCTAGCAGTTTACCAATGTGTACTAACATTCTTTTTGCAGGCTTAACTAACACATAAATTCCTGATACATTCAGATGCTGAAGAAAGCCTTTATTACCTTCATCCTCATTCATTAGTACATGTGTTAGTAATTTAATCTTATGGTTGTTAAGATATAACTTATTCATCTGTTCCTGATTAATGACTTATTATCTTTTCATTAATTATCAATTAGTAAATGTCTTAATTACTGGCAGATCATGTACCCTTGTAAAGTGACCATTTTACACTCATATTGTTGGGGTGGTATGTTTTGTGTTGGAATTATTTGGTCTGTGATTCTCATGTTAATGTTTCATAAAATGAGCACATGCTGAGTGACACCATATTGTTTTTCAGTGATGGGCGAAAATCAAGTTACTGGTTACATCGGGCAGTCTGCGACCTTGAAATCAGGGTTGAATGTGTCATGGGAACTCTCAAGAATACGGTGGTCCATCTACACCAACACAACATATATTGTAATTTATGAAAAGGGGAGAACCAAAATCAGGTTCTGGAGATATGAGGGCCGTCTTTTCCTCAACGAGTCTACAGGAGATTTGGAGATCAAAAATTTAACAGCGGATGACAGCATGAAATACACTGTGCTGCTGTATAGTGGTTCAAAGCAGCATCAAAATCACATTTTTCTCACAGTTCAGGGTAAGAGAGAAAGGCCAAAAACCTTGTAAAGCATTTTTTTTGTCATCATCTGGCTTGTGATCCATCCAAGTGATGAATAAAGTTCACAAATTGCTTTCACTGTAGCTTATGTCAGTACACTGTTGAATTTTCTCTCCAACACATAGCTTTAAAAAACACAATACCTATTTTTTCCCCCAGAACAACTCAGAAAACCAAAAATAACAGTGCTGCATAGTTCTCTGGTTCAAGATCACTGTATAATTGCACTTAAGTGCTCTTCATCAGAAGATAACGTCACTCTCTCCTGGACACCTAAGGATGAATCCAGTGTGCCTTTTTGGAAAGGAAATACGAGTCATAATTCCAGAGAGTCAGAGCTGTGGACGTCCTTCAAACCCAACAGAAATGTAACCTTCACCTGCACGGCCACTAAGGGCAGTCGCACAGGGTCAGATCATGCTGTTGTACAATGTCCAGGTATGTGTCTGGTTTATCAGACTTGTGTAGAACTAACACAAATGAGATATTAAATATTTTTTAATCATAGCAGAACATAAGGTTCCTTTTTCACATAAATGATTAAAGTTTGATGAGAATCTCTTATATCTAGGATTTTTTAAATGTTCCATCAGTAGGGTGACCATACATCCTCTTCCAGGACGTCTTCTTTTCGAGACCTAAAAACCTAAAAAGCATCTGGATTTCTAAATGTCCTAAAATATCTGGGATTTGGCTTTGCTTTCATTTTGGCATGTGCTTTCTACAGTCTGCCCCATGCAGCTCTCCTGCCCTCAGTGTCCTCTTTTTTGAAAACCAAAATACAGGTCATATTATTCATGGTCATCAGTGATAGAAACATTGTGAGGTTTACCACATAAAAAAGCAATATTGTAGCTTCACTTTGATCCATCAAAGTTATAAAGTTAGATATAGCCTGCAAATTGTCCAAGATAGCAAAATTATGTATTTGTGTGTTTGTTTCTTTGTTCATTTGTTTGCTGTCTACCTTTAGGTTTGGTAAAAAGTGTAATTAGGCTAAAGCTAGTTATTACCTTTGTACTCTTTTCATCTGGCCCTATATAAGCTGAGCAAAGTATATGAGTAAGTTATACAATTTTCTTTTCATTGGCTTCACATTGGATTGGAAATAACATAAATTCATCTGTGTGTTTAGAAGTAGTAAGTGTTTTGGGAGGGAATGCATGCTTTATAGTGAAGGGTGCTGCTGTGTTAGTAGCATTTATGTGAAACCAGTCTGGAACCCAGTCCGGAACCCAGTCCAGGGTGATGACTGTACGGCTATCAGGAATAGGCCATAGTCTGGTGTAATGATATTGTAGGACTTTGGCGCATTTGTTAATTGATTCTACTATGTTGGGCTACCCACTTTTTCACAGGCTTACCCAAACATTTATGTTTGCCTACCCTACTAATGTGCGTATACAATTTTTAGATATATGAATACTTGTGTATGCATGCACATGCACACTTTCACCCTGGAATGCACACAAAGTTTTATAAAAGAGGCCCAACGACTCTGTCTGGGTCACTCAAAGGCCATCAGTTTTATTTCATTTTTCATTTTTTTGCCATTTCATGTCAGTGTTGCTGTAGCAGTGTGTTACACCACACATACCACTTTGTATTCAAGCCAAAATATTCCGTTTTAGTCATTACAAAAGAAGACCAATTTTTTTTTTTTTATTTGACTAAACTGAAAAAATGAAATAAATGTAAATGTATCTTTTAAATGAAGATTAAACATTAAACATAGAGTAAAAGGACTGATTAACTGAAATGAGCTCTGAGATATTTTCATTTCCATGAAGATGATCTCATTTCTTACTTTGCATCTGTAAGTAAGTAAGTAAGTAAGTAAAGTTTATTTATATAGCGCTTTTTACAACAGGTGTTGTCACAAAGCAGCTTTACAAGGAAATGAGCATTACAAAAAGAAATCCGGGTCCGAGCCCCCATGCGCAAGCCAGTGGCGACAGTGGCAAGGAAAAACTCCCTAAGATAAACAGGAAGAAACCTTGAGAGGAACCAGGACTCAAAAGGGGAACAGATCCTCCTCTGGTCCACACCGGATAGTAAACATTGTTAGTATAAAGTATTATAGTACAAAAACAGGGTAAAGGTGAAGGAAACAATTAATTTGAATAGTTTAGTTCATGCTGCAGCAGCAGCAGCATCAGCAGCATCAGTGGGGTCAGGTTGTGGGGGTGGGGTTTGCACGGTGAGCAGTGGCACCCGATCAAGGCAGCAGAGGCAGCAGCATCAGCATCAGGATGGGCAGCTGTTCAACTCGGCAAAGGAAAGAGAGGAAAAAACACACAGTCAGTTCTACAATGGGAGATTGATTAATTTGAATTAGTTTGAATGATTGGTTCAAGTGAATAATTTTGATTAGTTCATGTAGCAACAGCAGTAGTATCAGTGGGGTCAGGTTGTGAAGGTGAGGTTTGCACGGCGTTGTACAGCAGGAGGCTCAATGTTGGTAAGCCGGTCCAGAGGGCTGGCGAGCAGTGGCACCCGATCAAGGCAGAAAAGGCAGCAGCATCAGACGCACAGGATGGGCAGCTGTTCAACTTGGCGAAGAAAAGAAAGGAAAACACACAGAGAGGAAAACACACAGAGTCAGTTCTGTAATAGGTGACCGATCACAAATTACAGTGTTAGCAGAGACTCTTGCAGGTATAGAACTGACAGGGAAAACTAATTACCAAAGGCTTGACTATACAAGTAAGTTTTTAGCTTAGACTTAAACACTGGCTGTGTCTGAGTCCCGAACATTAACAGGAAGACTATTCCAAAGCCGGGGGGCTTTGTATGAGAAAGCTCTCCCCCCTGATGTAAATTTATTAATTCTAGGTACTAATAGTAAGCCAGCACCTTGTGATCTAAGTAGGCAGGATGGTTCATAGTGAGAGAGAAGTTCACTCAGGTACTGAGGGGCGAGTCCGTTTAGAGCTTTATAAGTCAGTAAGAGAATTTTATAATCAATCCGAAATTTAACTGGCAACCAGTGTAAGGCTGATAAAACTGGACTAATATGGTCGAACTTTCTGGTTCTTGTAAGGACTCTGGCTGCAGCGTTCTGGACCAACTGAAGCTTGTTAATGCTTTTGCTGGGACATCCAGCCAGCAGGGCATTACAGTAATCTAGCCTTGAAGTAATAAATGCATGAACTAACTTTTCTGCATCCTGTAGAGATAATGCACTTCTCAATTTAGCAATATTGCGGAGATGCAGGAAGGCTGTTCTAGTAATATTAGTTATATGTGTGTCGAAGGACAGATCAGGGTCTATAATGACACCAAGGTTTTTTACAGATGAGCTTGATGCAACTGAGAAATTGTTAAGTTTAAGTGTTAAATTAGACAGTTTGTTTCTAGCTGCTTTTGGACCAATAAGCAGAACCTCTGTGTTATCTGAGTTTAGAAGGAGAAAGTTACTCGACATCCAGTCCTTTATGTCTTTTATACAGTCTTCAATCTTGCTAAGTTTAATTCTATCATCTGGGTGACTTGCTAAATATAACTGAGTGTCATCGGCATAGCAGTGGAAGTTTATGCCGTGTTTACTGATAATGGTGCCCAGTGGTAGCATATATAATGTGAATAATACTGGTCCTAAAACAGAGCCTTGTGGAACACCATATTTTACTTTTGTGAGAACAGATGATTCACCGTTTATATTAACAAACTGATACCAATCAGTGAGGTAGGACCGGAACCAGGAAAGAGCTATTCCTGTTACCCCTACAAGGTTTTCTAGTCTGTCAAGTAAGATAGCGTGGTCTATTGTGTCAAATGCTGCACTAAGATCGAGGAGGACTAACAAGGACACATGATCTTGGTCAGAAAATAATAATAGATTTTTACTAGTGCTGTTTCTGTACTATGATGTGGCCTAAAACCAGATTGATGATTCCTATGCAAATAGGAGCTTAATTGTTTTGCTACAACTTTTTCCAAGATCTTCGATATAAAGGGGAGATTCGAGATGGGTCTATAATTTGAAAGTTCGCATGGATCGAGGTTCGCTTTCTTAATCAGCGGTCTAATTACTGCTAGTTTAAGAGATTTTGGGATGTACCCAAGGCTAAGAGAAGAGTTTATTATTGACAGAATAGGCTTGGTTATTTCTGGCAGAATTTCCTTGAGTAAACCTGTAGGAATCGGATCTAGCATACAGGTAGATGATTTTGCGGAAGAGACTATTTTAAATAGTTCATTTTCTTGGAGTAAGGTAAACGATTCCAGCCTCTCTGCAGGAATTATAATATTTTCAAGGTTGAGGCTGGCATTATGGGGAAGCAGGTTTCTAGAGTTTAATTGCGTATTCTGAATTTTCTGCCTAATTTTTTCAATTTTATCACTAAAGAAATTCATAAAATCATTGCTGTTATAGGCTGATGGCATCTGGGGTTCACTAACTGTTTTGTTCTCTGTTAGTTTAGAGATTGTGCTGAAAAGTAATCTAGGATTATTCTTATTGTTTTCTATGAGAGAGGAGAGATAAGCTGAGCGTGCTGTAGCAAGTGCTCGTCTATAGTCTATAAGGCTCTCCTTCCAGGCGGACTGGAACACTTCTAGCTTAGTCAGGCGCCATTTTCGCTCAAGTTGTCTGGCGTTCTGTTTTAAAGCCCGAGTGTGGTCATTATACCAAGGGGCGAGTTTTTTCTGCCTTACTATTTTACTTTTTAATGGGGCCACACTATCTAGAGTAGATCAAAAACTATCCTCTAAGAGCTTGGTCATAGCATCTAGCTCAGTAGGATTAGATGGACAGCTGAGAGCGGCTGATAATTTAGGAAGGTTTCTAATAAAGCCACCAGCTGTGGAGGGAGTTATTGTCCGCTTGACACAATAACATGGTGATGAACGCACATTACCACTAAAGTGAATTTCGTAAGAGATTAAGTAATGGTCAGAGACTGCTGTGCTCTGTGCCATCTGTGCCTCTCTATAATTAAATCACTGACTTGCTCCTTTGTCTTCATGTTGGTTTGCTCTGTTTTCATTCTCTACCATGTTGTTAGACCTCACAAAGAGCTAATATGTTTATTCTCATAAAGTAATTAAAATAATTAAAAACAGGTGGTCTATTAATTTCTGACCCAGGTGCTAACCATCAACAAGTTATTATTATTCAAATGACTTGCAATAAGAAACCTACTGTTTATTTTAACTCTATAGTCTGAGACAGTGAACTATGAAAATAATTTTGATGGCTGAATACTTTTTCAATGTACTGTATCAAAGCTTAAGGGGAGAATTGTTGTATTCACATATTTTTAAATAGTGAAATCTATAAATCTATTATTCTGTACTATGCTGTCATGGGAGCCGGTCTTGAAAAAGTAAAAATTACTCAAAGTTGTCTTTTTTGTAACCTTAAAAAAATTCATAATGAGAGCTTTAGTATATTATACAGTCATAAAAGTTTGAACAACCCCAATGGACAAAAGTATAATGACAATGGTTTGACTAGAGTCTTAAAAATATTGAAAAAAAAAAATGTAATATGACCAGGGTGCCCAATTTTTGTATTTAATTATACAAACAAGCTAAAATCACAATTTACATATGTAAAATCACATTTCTCATGAAAGGAATTCTTTTAGATTTCTTATTACTTCCCCATTTGAGATACTGTATTTGTTTTTACTTTTTTTATTTTGAGGGCCTTAGTCCAGTACAAATGTACCTGATTCCACTCAGCAGACTTTTGTGGAAAGCTATTATAGAGAGTATGACAATGCTGAAACATCAGAAATTACACATCACTGTGTTAAAACTTGTCATGGTTCCTCTTTTCTAGATGTGAAGCCCAAGACAAACCCCTCTCCAGAGCGCTTAAGAAAACACTTTGGGATTATTGCATCTCTAGCTTGTCTAGTCACATTTTTTGCAGTATTGCTGTTAAAGGTAAGACAAATGCACCTTCAACACTTCCATTTTATGTATTTGTTCATCATCAAATTTTCTTTAGTCAGAATAACAACCATTTCTGTTTGATTTCTCCCTGGCAACTTTTAAGCAGCTGCTAATTATCTCAAGTTTATTTTCAAACCAAGCTAGCATATTTTGCATTATGATTTTATGGGACAAAATACAGTGCAAAAGTTGCAAAAGTTTAAACACCCCTAGTCAAATTACATGTTTTGTCGACTTCCTAAATAAAACTAAGTTAACACATCCTCTACAGGAAACACCCGTTGCATTTTTCTACTAATTTAAGTGCACAATTTCTATTTATTTGCTGAATTTAACGTATTGGGAAAAAAGCATAAAATATAAAACATGCTTTAACTTTTGCACAGGCCAAGTTTTGTTTTATTTGTATGTAAAATTCATTAATTGTGCATGAAAATGTGGAGAGGATGTGTTAACTTATTTTCATTTAGACAATCAGCAGAACATGGCGTTGACCAGGGGTTCTCAAACTTTTGCGTACAAGTGTAAATGACTATATATTTGTAGTTATTTTTCATGCACAAGGAAAGTACAATATTCCACTGGACGAAGCATCATTATTTTGAATATGAAATTCTTAAACTGTGCTGGTCCAGATGTCCATTCATCTGTCTCATAACGATATACATTACATATAGTTTCATAAGCCTTAAATGAATAATGAGTTTGCAGTTTAAAGGGTTAAAAGACAGAGTATAAAATACATTCATATATTTGTCGTAGAAATAACAATAAAATAAAAATAAAAAAAACAAAAACACTTTTGAAATGACCTGTAGAAGAAAAATTAAAAGCAATTTTTTAAAAACTGACAAAACTACCAGGAATGCCAGGAATTCCCATTATGCTTTGAAAATAACAGCTAATTACTGTAAAATCCAATATTTAACTTCCTTGAGAAGATGCTGGGCCTGTCTCTCCCAATATGCAACATTTTTACAGCTGCTGTATGTAAGGAATACAGTAGATTACTGCAGTATTTATGCAGTAAATTTACCTCAGTTCTTTACAGTGTAACTTTTTCCACCTCATAAATGGTGTCAAAATGCCTATATTTTACATTATTGCTAGGATGCTACTGTATAACAATTTGAAGGTTTATAACTAATAAGTGACTGGGTGGAATAATTTCCAATCATTGAACTTGAAATCTGCAATACTTAAGTATGTTACCAGGGACGCGGGAAGCACCCCCAGATTTCAAGATTGTGTAACTGCAACTGCCAAAACAATAAGAGAAAAATAATAAAAGAGAACTAAACTGTAAAATCAAAGACTATGTGTGCTTTTTGTAGGGTGGAGTATTTTTTTTGGTGTTGCTTATATATTGTGGTGTCCGCCATGGGCCATATTGCTGTGGGGATGTGGCCACAGAGTGTTAAAAGGACAGTGGAGCCTAGCTGGAGCATGGCAAAAGGGAGGTGTGTTTTCGCTTACTATGCTTCGATGGCAAGGGTGCCTGGGAGCCATACTCTGCACAGCTGCAAGTGGTTGCCAGGCATCACGGCTGGACAGCAGCCGTCACGGCAACACAGCTGTGTCTGCGCTGGAAGGGAAAGCATTACAGGTGCTTGTGTATAATGGCATTGGCCATGGCCCTTCAGTAACGCTTCGGGCAGATGCCGGCGGTGTGGTCAGTCAGATGGTGCTTCCGGAAAGGTGGAGGCTAAAGGGAGAACAGGCAAGCTTTCTGGTGGCAGAGCTGAGCACAATGGTTTGACAGGCATAGCCGGAATTTGAGAAGGCTGCAGAGGAAGAGTTGGTGCTGAAACATTTCTTGTTTCGATACTGCCAGAGGAGCTGAGACGGCACATGCAGCTTGTTGCAACGGTCAGCCTTCAAACTGACACTGCTGAGGCAAAGAGTCAGCGCAGTGGCAGCTGAGAGGAGTGCTGCTGCTGCTGTTGTCGCCCCCCAGAGGCACCAGACTTCACACTAAGCTGTGGAGAGTTGTTTGTGTTTGTGTCTTATTATGTGCTTAACTATTGTGTTGGAAGTGTTTACCATCTTCGCGTGGTGTTTGGCTGTTGAGTAGACTCTAGGTCTTCTGTGCTGATGCTACAATATGTTTAATTTCTGTAGTAGACGTGCACTGTTAAAGTTAACGCTGCATTTTGAAGTGAATTGCTTCCCTCGCCACCTGTTTAGCGCTTGGGATTTTAATATGTGTGGATGTATCTTGACTATAGGAGTGACACAAGCATGTTCAGGGCCTCACAATCTGATCGTTCGATGCTCAGCTCACTTGCATAAAGTTGGTCCTGCAAGAAACATCAGGGTAGGTGTGCATCAGTGATTGCTGTGTTGGTTGTAAGTGTACAGCTTTATTGTCATCTCTCAGCATGGTATAACATTTTGCGATATGTTCTGTTTCATGAACATTTATACAAACAAATCATATGGGTAAAAAATGGTTCGTATTTAGCATGTATTTAGCACTTATATGATGCTAAAAATCACAGTGCCCCAAAGCTCCTTCCCTCGTCCTTATCTTCCGTCATTTATAAAATTGCTGGAAAATCTCTCTCTCTTTGTAAAGAATCACAAATCACACATTTGTCATTTGTTGTTTTTCAAAAGATGTTGTTTTTCTACAATGTAATTTCCTCCTGAAGTGATAAACATCAGGGCCTGTTCTGTGTCAACATAGCAAGAAGGTTCAGCACAGTGAAGAATAGAATTAAGCCATGCTGAAATGTTGAACTGTTTATTCTCTTTCAGAATAATTCATTGGATGTAAATTTGAGTGAAAGAACCACACTGGAAAAAGAAAAGGACAGAAGTTGAAATGTTTTTACAGTTGGAGTTGATACAAAATATATCTTATATATATCTTTGCAGTGTTTCTACTGGAACTGAATTAAACCAGTTAAATTGCTTATTACCACCGGACATAGATAGAACTTTATATACAAACAGCCATTGTTTCATGTACAACTGCACTTTTGTAAGCAAAGTGGAAATCTTCTAGACTTCAAAGATGTACAGTGTCTCAATCAATGTTCCATTTTACTGATGCATGTTTGCTGTTCTGCACTATAAAAAAAAATATATTGTTTGCCACACAGTCTCATGTCTGTTTTTTTATATATTTGATTTGATGCATGTGTGTGTGTGTGTGTATCAGTTGATCTGTCTGTCTGTCTTATAGATAGATAATATATAGTGCAGTCTGGTTGGAAAATATCTTTGTGTCTTAAAACATAGAATTATACTGATTAAGTTTGTTTGCACTGATTCATCAGACTTTTCTAGCAAGTGTTAGAACTAACTGTTACAATCAAAACTAACTGTTACAATCAACCCCACCCATGGTGTAAATTGTAACATTGCACTTCCTGTCATTTTCAGTGGAATTGTACATGATCAAGAGGTGCTAGAAACAAAGTTCATGTGTTTGTAGCAGAGATGTATATGTTGCTTGTATAAAAATATGATCATTCCAAATTAAATATTTTATAAATTATTTAACAAAAAACAAAGTATTACGTTGTGCCCCATAGTCTAGATACATGCAGATTTCAGTACAGAGAAGATTCAATATTAAGGCTGTTTTCACACTTGTTTGTTTACTAAATCTTGTTTACTAAAGTCAGAACCAGAGTTTGTGTTTTTGTAACATTGTGTTGTTTTTTTTTTCATTTGGTTCAGTTGGTTTCACACTGCAAAGGCTAAAGTGCACCAAATTACACACGTACTTGTTTATTGGTCAGAGATTTTGCAGGGATACAAGTGCTCCATTACTCTCATATTTGCTACCATTTGAGCCAAAAACTCAACTTTACATGAGCTTTACATTTTATTTGCATCACAGTCAAAGCAACAGTAATAAACCTTATTTGACATCTACTTTTTTATAATTGTTTTGTCCATTTGAACGTAACCAATAAGATCACTGGTGTCAAAGTTAAAGGCATCCCTGCTGAAAAAAAAAAATCATGTAAAGCATTCAAATTTTGTGTTCGTTACTGCTGGTGTAACAAGCTATTAATCTTCTCCCTGTAGGGTTCTTCTGGACTTCAGCCAGCTCTAAGGTTGTAGCTGGTGATGAGACGAGCTCTATCAGAGCACAGTCAGAGATACAGCTAAAACATAAAATGCGTGCAGGGCGGATAAGTATGTGCAAGGTGCTGCAAGGAAAAAATAGTACCCAAAGAAAATGTATTTTTTCGAATTTAGCACTATTTTACCATTATCAGCGTGACATAAAAAACCTTAGAAGACACTGAGTTCACTGGTCACTTTGGATAGCAGATAAAATGGTGATATTTGTAGCATAGATATAATGATGTCTGGTTCCTAGTACTATAAGGGTGAACAATTTAGACTTTCTCTAGAAAGCCGCATTTCACATCAAACCACTTTGATTTTGTTTACTTCTAAATCATTCAACGATTAAGTAATTTTGCAAAATTAGTAGAGTTCACCGTTAGCTTATTTCACGTAGAAAATCAACAAGACACGTTATTTGAGGGTGTTTTAACTTTTGTAGATGATTGTATTTTTAGTGGTTTTTATTTTATTTTTTGTGTGTATTATGAAGCACCTTGTCTGGAAAAAATGCTATACAAATAAATGTACTTTTTTCAATATTGTGCAAATCATTTAAACCCTATATATAATTGAAAATAGTACATAGACAACATATTAATTGTTGAAATTGAGAAATTTTATTGTTTTTTGGAAAATATGTGTCAATTTTGAATTTGATACTCGCAACATGTTTCAAAAAAGTTGTGACAAGGGCAACAAAAGACGTGTAATGCTAGAAAAAATACCTGGTGGTTGATTGGCAACAGGTCAGTAAAATGATTAGGTATAAAATAGGCATCTTAGAGTGGCTGAGTCTTTCAGAAGTAAAGATGAGGAGGGGTTCACCACTCTGTGAAAGACTGCACGATCAAATAGTGCAACAATTCAAGAATAATGTTTCTCAACGTAAAATGGCAACAAACTTGGGGATTTCATATGCTATGGTACATATCATTAAAAGATTCAGAGAATAAAAAAAAATGGAAATCACTGCATGGCTCAGGAACACTTCTGAAAACCATTCTCTGTGAAAACATTTTGACACTGCATCCACAAATGCAAGTTAAAACTCTAACATGCAAAGAAGAAACCAAATATGATGCTTTCTGCTTGCACAGTTGCTCCAGTCCGCAGCCTCCAAAATTACTCAAATTTATATGTCCAACAATTACTATTGATGATGTTGCAGAACATTTTATATAGTCATTCTGTATATTGTGTGTGCATGTGGTCATGTCTGATGCAAGAATGCTGAATGCATTGTTGGCTGCTGCTTTATATTGGGTTTTTTGTTTGTTTTGTTTGTGGTGTTTGTGATTTGTTTTGTTTTAAACCTTCCCTGGTGGCCTGGGAGTTTTTGTTGATGACTGAGAACCAGCAGAGAAACTTTGCACTTTGAATTTAACTTGGTTTTGCATCACAACAGAGGAGTCTGACTGGGCCAAGAGCCAGGGAACTATACATCAAGGTCAGAAGGTTTCCCCCTGCCAGCTAACACACACTGTGTGTGTGTGTGTGTGTGTGTGTGTGTGTTTGTTTGTTTGTTTGTTTGTTATTACTGAGAATTGTAAAGCAGGTTGAGACGGCATCCACATGATAAAACAAAACAAACAATGGTTTAATATTATAAAAAAACATATATAAAACAAATATAATACTGAAAAACATTAAATAATTTCTTTTTGGAGTGGGTAAGTGCATTCTTAATAAAAACAATACTTTTTGTTGGCATTAGCATATATGACTGCAACTTTGAAAATACAGGTTGCACTCCATATTAATCATTGTATCAGCTTATGATTATTTCACTCACATAAATGAAAACTACCATATTTTACAGGCTGTCTTGGTGACTGACCGTATAGTGGTTTCAGTCAGATGTGGTCACTTTGTTCTTTCACACAGTACATAAATGGCTTAAAATGTAATTTCATGACACACTTTGCATTGAATCTTTGACGCAACATACAGTTAGGTTCAAAAACATTTGAACACTGATAAAGTTATTGTCTATGGGCTATGTATGAAAAATTGGTATAATTCCCACACTGTTCACTGGATTCAGATGTAAAGAACCTTGAATTAAAGCTAAATAACAATAACATTGTTGCATCCAAATATTTATGGACCTATCTGTAGCAATCAATTCTCTTTCACTAAACTATATACACAAAAAACCCTTAAAATTATATCTTTACAGCACAACTTGGTAAGGTGAGGAGGTAGAGGGGCCAAGAGGAGTAGGACGTGCAAATGTCACCTTGTCATAAAGCGTCTGAGGCTGTGGGGTGGGAAAAAAAACATGGCAGGTTAACAAACACATTCTTTATGTAAATTTGCTTTTATATTTTGCCATATAAACCTTTTTTTTTACATTTACAAAATTCAGGCTGCAACCTGTCTGTCCATTTACACTGTTTCTGAGACTGCTAAATTCAAAGCAAAATAAATTACTTGCAAAAGCATAGAGCAGCTTATGTAAGCTAATGAATTTATGATATAGATGACTTTTCGAGTGTGGCTATAGCAGCATCATACATCAGGCTGCCTTAAAATGATAAAACTCACTTCAAAACTTTTTGAGACAATGTGAGGACCCTAGTCAACTGGTAATGAAGCTGACCTGTTTATTTTTGTTTGTTTGTACATTTATTTTTTTTCTAGTGTTTAGAAACAGCAAAGCAAAATATTACATTAACCCCCCTTTCATTGTCAAACAACAGGGAAAAAAAAGGATTAGGAGTGGGTGGTGTTAGAAAAATATAAAGTCATTATATAAAGACATTTTGATCATATACAACACATCACAATATTCAGGTTCTATAATCTTAGGGTTGATAAGTGAAAATACATTAAAACAATATCTGCATGGAAGAAACTTGACACATATTTACATATTTTAATGCACAGTAATCTACATATTTTAATGGACAACAATTACAATTTATTGTAATAACAATTTCAATGTATTTGCTGAATTTACTTTATTGGGTCAAAAAACAAATATAATGTGGCATGTGCAAAAGTTTGTGCACCCTTTTAGTTGATTCACTAGTGTTTTTTTTTTTTCACAGAGCTTATTTGACTCATTAGGATTTAATCCAAGTCAGGCATAAATAATTCCAATAAATTATGTGACCATATAAACAATATAAAGTTCCACCTTGCATAGGAAACACATACATTAAGTTTGGATTTAGGCCTCATCCTAGTACAGAGACAGCACTAGTGAAAATTGTAAATGATTTCTTATTATTCTCGGGGAATAGTACATACATCATAGGGAAACATAGCTTTGCTGGTTCTGCTTGATCTTAGCGATTGATATGATAGACCACTCTAGCCTACTAGACAGGTTAGAAAATTTAACAGCTCTTTTCTGGTTCAGATCTTAATTTAAACTTAATAAGATTGAAGACTGTGTAAAAGACATAAAATACTGGATATTAAGTAACTTTCTCCTACTCTGACAAAACAGATGTTCTTCTTGGTCCAAAAACAGCTAGAAACAAACTGTCTAAATTAACACTAAATCTTAATAGTCTCTCAGTTTCTCAGATACATCTGTGAAAAACCTTAGTGTCATGATAGATCCTGATCTGTCCTTCGATGCACATATAAGTAATATCACTAGATTAACTTTCCTTCATCTTCACAATATTGCCAAATTAAGAAATGCACTGTTTCTATCTGATGCAGAAAAAGTTAAGCCTTAACAATTAGCCTTAACAAGCTTCATTTACTCCAGACTGCTGCAGCCAGAGTCCTCACAACAACCAGAATGTTTGACCACATCAGCCCAGATTTATCAACTCTACACTAGCTACCAGTTAAATTTCACACAAAATTCTTTTACTGCCAAGGACTAGTGCGTTGTTGCTGGACAAGCATAATCTATGTGGGAGGGCCATCAGAAGGAAACCTTAATTGTTAACTCTTCACAAAAGTCAATGTCTTAAAGCAACACTTACAGAAACTAAATAATGGGGCAGATCTATTGTGCTTTGGAGCTGTGTGGCAGAAATGATCTGAAACGATTCTACTTAATATCAGCAAATTCTGGAAGCTAATGTCCCACAGTCAGTGAAGAAACTGAATATGATAAAAGGTTAGATACAAGAACAAGACAACGGGCCTCATTCATCAACCATTCTTAAAAAAAAAATATTTTTAAAACTCACTTATACAGTTTTCACACATTCTGACATTCACTATTGTCTAATTCACTAATGATTTTTCTCAACGACAAATTTAAGAAAAATCTTGGAAAGATATTGGTGAATGAGGCCCAATGGCCCAAAACTGACATCAAAATCAATCTTTTCAAAGTTTTATAAATGTATTGTATTTAATATAAATGACCTTCACAGAGCAAAGATGATTATATATTGAATATTAGTGGTTGGCTGATTAATCAGGCCAATTAATGCTATTTTGAGATAATCGGCATTGACTGATGCTTATGAAGCTGATAATTTAAAAATGCCTGCAGGCACATTCACAGGCAGCCACACTGACTAGGCTGCCTGTAATGTTAGGGCACCCCTAGTGTTAGTTTAGCCATTCCACATGCAAGGGTCAGTGGGTGCTGTGAAACAGTGGCCTCTATTCCACTGCAGGGCTGAATGGTTCTGAGCATGGAGGGTAACCATTCCAGTGGCTTTTTCACATGGATACGGTTAGGCATGGAACGCTTAAAAACTGGGCTCAGCATGTTTTTTTTGGCATGGTTAGCTGACTGTATTCGGGGCCACAGAACAATTCAGTGGGATGATGTAATTGCGTAGCTATTCACTGATTGGTTCTATGTTTATGTCATTATTGGGCAACTGCATCCTGCTGTACTATTTCAAACTGGCAAATAAATGAAAGCAGTACATGATTTTAAACCCACCATTCAATAATTGTCAAAGCTTCAATCTAACACCAATTTCTAAATGTTAAATGGCACTGGTAACCAGGAGAGAAGCTGGTTAATATTAGCTAAGCTAACAGCTAGCATGTTGCCTGCTCATCTCAGGCATCCAAAAGCTTTACTGAAGCTAATGCAAGTTTGGATGATAATAAGTCAAATGGCTGGTGTTAGAGAAAGCCAAAATTTAAACCTGAATTTTGAACTGTAGCTTCCTGGCTAGGCTAATGCTGGCTGGCTCCTCTATCCTAGCTAACGTAGGTTAGCTAAAAAGATCCAAACAGCCCGGTACAGGTTTGATTTGACTAACTGATAACCAGCTGTCATAATTATATAATTATATATATATATAAAATTAGAATTATATCACAGTTATATATCAATAAAAGCTTACAACATCGAGAGCAAAATGTACTGATTGTTGTAGTGTCAGAAAAAAATGAAATTGAACTTGTTCTGTGTATTAAGCTGTAGCCTGCTAAACTAAGCTAATGCCAGTGTACGGTGCAGTACAGACTTGGTTTCAGCTAACGATGCTTAAAAACACCTGCTTAGAGGATAAAGACTCATATGAACATGCAAATTCAAGTGACTGCCGTTGAAGTGACAGTAGGATAAAAAATAGATTTGTTCTGTGGTGCTTTGAATTGTACCTTGCTGGGCTACGCTAATGCTAGTGTAGTTAGCCAGCTACAGGTTCATGCTGTGTGTGTGTAGTTATTAGTCTGTTAGCAGTTAGCCACTTGTTTTTGTAGTTTTTCAGTATTTCTTCATTCTGATTTAGCAACACAACGGAAACCGTAACCGGTCTCACAAGTCTGCACCAGTTGGCACAGTTTGGCTCTGAATACACGGCTTGAAAGTGGAAAAGAGGCCAGTGGGAAATGTGCCAATGCTGGATGTAATGTTTCCTGGTAGAAAACAGTAAGACTTGAATTCCTAGCTTATAAAACACAATATGTTTACACTCTTAATTTCATATACAGTGTTTACTGTCTGTAATTGTTTTCATCTCATTTTGGGGACTGGATATTATGGGCTTCTCGCTAACATAGTTTCTGCACTTTTGTGTGTGTCTTTCTCCCTCTGTGTGTATGCGCTTCAACACAACAAGCTGGCATAGTGTTTAATGAGAGATAGTGTAGTGAGAGATAGAGTAGTGGATTAGCGGGACAGAATCTCTGCTCTATCACATTGTTATCACCTCTAGTCACTAGATGACAGTGAGCAGGTTGTGTGAGTGAACAAAGCTATTATTTCTAATGTGTTTTATCACTTAGATGGCTGTCTGTAATTGAATCTGTCAAACCTGAACAAACATACAAATATATGCTTCCGGGCAGTTCTGGGAAGGTGGTGAAAAACTTGTACTGTAACTCTCATGCACCCTGCTAAAACATTTGCCTAAATTTTCTCAGCCACCGTCGTCTTTTCTTAATGTTAACACGTTTCTGTCATCCCAAATTACAGCAAATCTAGTCTAGAACTGTTAGTGGATTGTGTTAAATATATCTACAGAACAACTAAATGTATTTTTCTATTTCATTAATTAATAAAAAAATCATTTAAAACAACTGGACAAGATAACCACGTATATTAGACTGTAATGTGCATGGAATAATAGTTTCAAGCACAACTTTTCTATGTTTTTTATTTCATGATGTCAGCATTATATATTGGCCATCGGCCGCCCTACTCTGTAAATATCAGCATTGGCATCAGCCATTGAAAAACCCATATCAGTTGACCACTATTCAATATATTCAAACAATAAGAGAATCTGTGGGTAGATCTCAAACAGGCTGTGCATGCAAGATGACCTAGGAATATTTCTGAACTAGAATCATTCTGCAAGGAAAAGTGGAAGAAAACTCAAAAATAAATCAAGGCTAGAAAGATTGTTACTTGCAAGAGAGTCTGCAATTTCAGACAAAAGGAGTTTCCTAAAAGGGTGCCTAAACTTATACGCAAACCATTTTATGTTTTTATTTCAACCAGTTTAATTCAGCAAATAATATGTGTCATTTGACCAGGGGTGCCAAAAACGTTGCATACAACTTTACACACTATAGTGCTGATAAAAGAGTATGTATAGAATTAAATACAAAACTTTTTAAGATCTTTTTAACCTCTGTCACAGATATTTCCATTTCAATGCCATCTGCTTACTACAAAAGAACAATGCAAATGAGTTATGATTAAGTTGTAGGAGAGCAGAATGGAAAGCAGGACCTGCAGGTGGGTCGTTGAATGTTGAGGGGTTTTAATACTAGTTGTAATGCAATTTGGCACAACAAAATGAACACCATTGGGTCAACCAAGATAGAATCTTGGAAACCAGTTTGTGTGCATAACTTTGACAACAATAATTAAATGGGCAACACTGCTTTTTCAGTGTAACAAATTGTGGATAAATACATCAGACATATTATAAACAGGAAAAAACAAACAGGAAACAGGAACAAACAGAAAAAAATATATATAAATTTTCCAGTTTTTGCCACATCATCAAAGTGTTGAATAAATTTTATGATTCTGGAGGAGGGGGCATGGCCGAGCGTCACATGCAGGACAGAGAGCCAGTTATGTCGAACCAGTGGGCTAAGTAGCTGATAATGTGCACCTGTGCCTCGTTTCTGCTAGCCATCTACTAGCTATCTCTTTTCTCAGTAGGTGGCAGAGCCCAGAGAGAAGGAGACCAGTGGAGACGTGAGAGCAGAGCAGAGCAGAGCTAGCAGAAATAAACCTGAGCAGGAAAGACTGAAAAGTCCCAGGGAGTGTGTTCTTTTATTTTGTATGTGGGCTGAAAAGCCGATTGATTTTGTGTTTTGTGCAAATAAACAGAGCTCTCGGTCTCCACATCTGCTCCCGGTGTCCTCAGTCCTTGCAAAGAATGTTACAATTACTTAAAAAAATACATGAATAAAGTACTGACCTTATCTGATGTTACTCGGAGTTCATCCACTGTTTCATAAATGGATGCCACATTTATACTCTCTGATCTTTTCTGTAATACAGAGGAAAATCTTTAATACATTTGAATTAATTTATTTTTTAAAGTGCCTGTCTCATACACACAGCTGCTTTACAGACGTAACTTGCACAATAAGTCTTACCCATTAAAACTGTTAAAGAAAATCAACGAGGATAATAACCATGGGGGGGAACTGAACAGAAAGGTTTTATCTGGGCTTTGATGGAGGAGTGTAAATTCTAACAGTGGCATAACTAGGAACCTATGGGCCCCAGTGGAAAACAGGTAATGGACTTCCCTACCATACAAAAATTGCATGTTTATTCAGTATTGTTATGTCTGAAACAAGCTGATGCTCTCAAGGCATGCCACTGCGTCCTTTGCCATCTAATGTATTTGGTTTGCTATGTAACATTGGAATAAATAGAAATGAACACAAATACATAAAATTAAAATATTGTTTGGTAGTGAACTTATATATTATGTAGATTTGGTTCCTGACTTCTTGCTGCAGCACCTTGATGATTTAATTTAATGAAGGACTGATTAGACAAACTAGGTGTTGGATTGTGACTGTAAATACTAGGCTTCACCCAGGAGAGATTTAGAAAATAGTTTTGTTAACACATCAAATCACAATGGATTTTTATTAGTTTATTTATATTTATTTATATTTATACTGCTAGTGTTTCTGGAACAAATAAATACTTACAATCTAGATAAATAATGTTACATATCATTTTCTAAATTGCCTGTTATTGTTTGTTTACAATAAGAAGTGACTTCAGACTTAAAATGTGATACTAAATAGCTGAATAGTATTATACCCATTCATGAAGTATGACAGTACCATAATAAGCTCAGTCACCTAAACATTCCAGTGTAAATATTAAAAATATTAAATACTTGGACACGTGATGTTAAATGACTGAAGACTGAAGACCATGACATAATACAGTTCTGTTGGTTCTGTTTGTGTAAAATCAGTGGAAAGTTGGCTAAGCTAGGAAGCAGAACCAGGACTATTTTTGTAAGCAATCACTCAATGTGCAATCGTTGATGAAACTGGTTAACTGAAAATCATTCATCTTGGAAGGTGGTGGATTAATGTGATATTTCCTGATGAAGGCAAACAGTCTACAGCACTAGCAGCTAGCTGAGACATCAGGTGAGTAGAGGAGGCTAAAGACTGACCTGTCCCTCTTTTGCTAAATTAGTAATTCTGAGCACACTCTCTCTTCCCCTTCTCAACACTACTTTTCTCTAATCCTCTTATCCATTTAGCACAGTTGAGATCATGTAGGCTAGTTAACTAACTAAACTAGCTAGCCTGGTAGTTCTACTGCACATCTCTGATTTAGTACCATTTATTGCGCGTATATAGTGTATGTGCTTTAAGATGACTAATAGTGTGAGAGATCAGGGGTCAGAGGGGCAGGGGATGGCTTTTTCACACATATTAAAGGGTGTGGTGGCACTGTTTAGTTGGCTGTCTAGTTTAGTTCATTTTTGTGCAACTGACATGTGTCCAATAAGAAAAAAATTGGGGACTGGTCGCTGTGGGCCCCCCTTCACCATGGGCCCCTGACTGCCCACCTGCTCCTCCTCTAGTTACGCCAAAGTGGGATTGTGGTAAGGAACTCCATAGTTCAATGACAAAAATGAACAAGAAAATAAAACTTCAGCACACTTGGATGCAACATGAAATGCATTTAACAAAATTAGTATTTATTTATTTATCTACTTTCTTATCATAATCAGCATTGTGCAACTCAAGGTTAAAGCTGAAATATGATTCAAATTAAAGGTACAGATGTTGCTTAACAAACACATATAAAGGCATACTTACATCTTTTCTTACAGTGATGTCATTCACGTCTGCATAGACTGTATTTCCAGAGTCAGGGGAGCATCTGTCTGTTTTATTGAAAGAAACAAAAACTTCCACTCATTTTTTTTATCTCCATTTCCATTTCCAAAATGTGGATATTCTTCCTTAAACCCTTGTATCAAATTGAAGACAGCACTAGCTCTTCTTAGCCACAGTCCATGGACACCTCCATGAGAGGGCCCATGTTTTGTATGGACAGATGTTATCATTTTGGAGGGGTGTGCACCTGAGGTAATGCCTTCAGAACTTTCTCACTACTTCTAATAATAATAATAATAATAATAATAATAATAATAATATCATAATAAAAATGTATCCTTAATAAAGACAGAGATATAACATTTTATATAACACTGCCATATTCCTACTGGATTATTTTTTAATGAAGGTCACTGATGGAAATGTTTCACAATCTCTGAAACAGTGATGCCCAAATATTTTGTCTTGGAGTGCAATGTTGAAGGCAGGAATTTTTGATATATTTTATAATAAAAACACAATAAAAATAAATAAACAATAAAAATAAACAATAAAAATATAATAAGTTATATATACTACAAAATATCTTTGTTCTATCTTTGGGTGAGGGGTTGGGGTTAGGACACCTTTCTGGCACACCAAAACAAATGTCCTCACAGTCCAACTTTGGGCAGCGCTGCTCTAGAATAATAACTTCAGTAGACAGTAAGTGAAAAAGGTCTGGCTCCATTGACTTAAATTTAAAGTAATTTTTTTCCTTCTCCTGAAAAGTTTTGTATATAAACGAAAATGAAAAAAAAATTAAAGCTTATTAATGAAAGATAGCTATTCTAATTGTCAGTTAATATAGTCATAGTTTTCATGCTGTTACACTGGCTTTGGCAAACCAACTCAAAACGTTCTTCACAAACTTTCTAGTTGTTGTTTTCTATTTTTAACATATAAATTTAGATTTTTAAGGGGTCTTATGATCAAATTATAATAGAAATCTAATAAAACAATAATTATGATCATATTTATAAGGAAGAATGTTGAAGACATTATGTTGATTTAAAGTAAAATTTCAGTATTTATAAGTATTTTGCTAAAATTTTAAGAACAATTTAAGATTAAATGTTTCAACTTTTTTTCAACATTGAAACAACAACTGACATTATTTCAGTGCCACAGGAATTCATGAGTTTGTTCATGCTGGGTGCCAGCTCAGGACCTAGAAAATGGATCACACATCCATCTTATATGGACCAGGTCAAATTATCACAGGTCCACTTTAGATGAGTTAGATAAACACCAAACCAATTTACCAGTTCTGTATTACCAGCACATCACCCCTAATCCTCATCCTGCCTCAGACCACCTAAAGCCTAGCAATAGAGCTGTTCTACATAGTAACAGACAAATACTGCTTTTGCCATTCATTTTAAACGATTAAGCTGAAATGATAAAATCAACATAAACATCTTAAATAATGTCAGCCGTAACTGGGCTATATTTGGCCCACTTTCTGCTCAGATGAAAGCCATTGTATAAAAATGATTTTTGAGGTAGGACTTAAAAGTTGACAGAGATGATGATCTAATTTCCTCTGTGTGAAACCAGTACCCTGACAGCAAAAGTATGATCAGCTTTCATTTTCATCAGGGATCTGGGGATGGCAAGCAGTGTAGGGTTGTAAAAGTTCAAAGATGGCGATTAAAATGTTTGACCTGTGGTTAGCTAGTGTTTTACAAGTATACATGAGTGACTCATCATAAAGAAAGAATACATACAGCTTAATCTTGTTAAAACTAAAGATCAGGAACTAGTTTAATGTGTACAGTGCATGTGAATGTGTATATTTATGTGACAGTGTAAGTGTACTTGTTGTATATCAGAACACACCTTTGTGTGACTTCCACCAGCAGCTGACGGCAATAATAGCAAGAAGCAGAAACAGAGCAGCACCTCCTCCTGCTGCAATCCAAATGTACTGATCTTTTAAGACACTACTGTTGGTCGTACCTTAGAAACAACCACAAAACATTTCTATTTATTTAGTAACCGTAATCACCATCATCTTAATCATCACCATCATCATAATAATCATTATTAGTATTTTTATTAGTATTGCACTGATACCATCCAAAACTGTACTGCACAGTTGCCTAGCATAAAAAGCAAAGAATACCTGTTTGGGTCTTGCCTGGATTGCAGGTGACTTTTGTTGTTTTATCATTGTTACTGTAATTGTTGGCTGCAGTGCAGGTCAGTGTAACATCTCCCTCTGCTGGTGAGAGAGTGAAGTTCAGTTCAGCTCCACTGTCAGTCTTATAGCCGCTCCATGTGTAGGACACCTTCTCAGCTTCCCGCGCTTTGCAAAGAAGATGAACTTCACAGCTGTTTTTAGCCTCCACCCAGATCTGATTGCTCTTAATCTCAACATTAAGCATGCCTGTAAAAGAAGAAGTTTATGTAGTGTAATCTTTTGTAGCTACAGGATGGCATACAGTACAGTGCCATAAGCATTTGGACAGGAACCTTTTTGTCGTTTAGGCTCTGTACCCCAAAACAGAAATGACCCAATTAAAGTGCAGAATGTCAGCTTTTTGTCAGCAGATTTGAACATACAGTGGCCTCCAAAAGTATTTGGGTGTTTGTGCCATACTTTTCAGCTGTGTGTATTACAATATGCAATCTGGTTGGAGAACATCTCCAGGCTTTCTCTACACAAGGAGTTAGCAATCAGGTTGATGTTGTGCTAAAAGTGTTTTTCTCTGAAATAAATCTCATTTTGTTAAATATTTTATGAAGTAACCTATAAAGAATTTAAAGTACGCCAGTGGTTAAACAGTTAAAGTGGCCAAATACTTTTTGGGGCCACTGTACATATGCATAGTTCCTTGGTTGTTTTTTGGTCAGCTTTGTGTTGTTGCATTATTAATTTAGAGTCAAAATAGCAAATCAAAAGTATATATCTAAAGATTGGGGCTAATCAGTCATCATTGCGAGTGAAGTAGGTCATCATCAGGTGCATTATTATGAAGCCACAACAAACTGGTAAGGTTAGCAGCAGCAAATAACTTGGTAGTCAACAGCAGACCTCAGTAGTAAAACTTGTTGAGATGAACACTAATTAGACATAGGTGTGTCACAGATTACTTTAGCCTGATGAGTACATTGGAACAGCATCAATTCACTATAAGATGATAACCACTGATAAAAAAAAAAGTTTACACATCCATTTGCCTTAATGACAGCTTCAATCCTTCCAGGTAAAGATTAATCCAGTCTCTCCTGCCCATTTTAGCCCACTAACTTTGTTCTTCATGTCCAAGCAAAACACAACACTGAAATTGGCACATTTCAGGAACTGTGTCTGTGTATGACTGCTTCAACAGACGTGATGGAACACTAGGGCAGTCTGACTGACCAGCAAAAACACCTCACGTCAATCATGATTCCCAGTTTTGAACAGGAGGTGAAAATCTGAAACAGGCACATATGAATATAAATATAAACAGGCACAGCTCTGGCTGCTGAAATGTGCACCTATTAAGTGGACTACAACTTGATGCTCTCAAGGCATGTGATTCCACCCATTAGCATCTAACATTACCTAAATTTTACCTAAAAGTTTATGTTAGACCACCTGTTTCTTCCAAATAACTAAAAAAAAAAACAAGTAGAAATTGTCAAAAGTAGCTTTCCACAACTTATTATTTAACTAATAACTTTATGCTCTTTTTGTCTACTAGGAATTTAAATAAAAAAGAAAATGGTATAGAAAAAATATTAGCACCCTTCTTGAAGATGATGTATACAGTAGACACAGGAACATTGAGATCTCTGCAGATGGACTTGTAGCCCATGCTTTTCTACAATTTTGTTTTTAATGCTCAGCCACTTTTTTCCTTTTTCATTTGTTTCTCCATGCTTGGTGTTGTACACAAAAAACACAGGTTGACTCAACTTTTCTCTATTGATCACTGTACCGGTAATAACACACTTCTGTCAAATACTTCCATTTTTTATACATAATTTTTATGCATTGATTTGTCCAGCAATACAGTAATCCAATGTATCGTTAGAAGGCTTGAAATCTCATGATTTCATTTCCGGAAACCATTTTATGATCTGTTATTCACAGCAGTTACAGTTGTCTCATTTGCAACCTAAGCACTGAATGAGAAAGCGTTGACAATTCTGCAAGGTAAAGGTTGTGCTGTGGTTCAGTTGTTTTTGTAAGGTGAAGTAAACTAGCTAACCTAGAGAAATAGGCATTGATCAGTTTAGAGATCTGTGAGTTGGGCAGAAAGAAACCCCTCCACTCTAGCCACTGTTACTTTGTGTCAGTAATTCAGACAATTATTCTAACATATGTGAAAAAACTTGAGAGTGTTACCTTTCAAATGAGATCAAATCAAGATGGTAGCCCAAAGTACATGAGAACAGTACTACATTTACTTTGGGCATGCCGTTTCAGGCAACAACTTGAAAAAAAGGGCGAAAGTTAATTAAAATTATTAAAACTATTATTTCTACCTTGCCAGTGATGTTACTGAGGCTACATGTCAATTACTTAAGCCTTTCATAGCAACTGACATAAATCTGCATAAACATTTATGAAGGCTTATTCCAGTAAATGGCAGTTGTCATAAAGGCTGCTTTTGTCAACTTCAATGCTAAAGTGACCTAATGCCTCATTTCACACTGACCTAATGTCAATGTGAAAGGTTTTTGTTGACATTAGGTGTGGTCAAAATTTTTCTGAGGTAAAATGACAGCACATTATGACTTTTTAGTGGCATTGTGTGGCATTTCACAGTTCATCTCATGTTTCTAATAGTGTCTATTTTACAAGCAATTGTTAGTCCATAATGGACATTATAATCCTGACTAAATGCCTAAATACAAAAAATAGCCTGAAGCTATCCTATATCAGGGTACTTTCTCAGTGAGAATTGATTTTTGTTTACAGGAAAGCAATTCCCTATAGAACCACCACCAAGAGAAAAGTGTTTAAGAGCATTTTATTGAGTAGTACCAAAGACACACATCATCTATGGTCTTGCAATGTTGTTCACTGTTTTATGTCATTACTGTTTAGATGTTAGTATTTTTTCATGTATTTATTTGTCAATCTTGTGTGCAAAGGTTTATTTGTATGGTGTCAATTCCAATTCAAGATTCACAAATGAAAAAGACCGTTCTTGTTCAGTAATCATGATTAATCACTCTGAGCCAGTCTGAAGCTCTTAAATGCAAAGAAGAAACCAGATATAAACAGGATCCAGGAATGCTGCCACCTTCTCTGGGCATGAGCTCATTTAAAATGGACTGAGAGGAAGTGGGAAAGTGTCCTGAGGTCAGATAAATCAACATTTGAATTTCTTTTTGGAAATCAAGGACACTGTGTCCTCCATACTAAAGACCACTCAGCTTATTATCAGTACATGTTTTGGCAACATATGCTGCCATCCAGATGACATCTTTTTCAGGGAAGGCCTTGACTATTTCAGCTAAACAATGTCAAACCACATTCTGCATGTATTACAACAGCATTTCTCTGTATTAAGAGAGTCCAGGTGCTAAACTGACCTGCCTGCAGTCCTAACCTGTCCCCACTGATAACATTTGGCGCATTATAGAAAGAAAAATACAACAAAGGAGACCCTGAAATGTTGAGCAGCTGAAATCCTATGTTAAGAATGGGAACTCTCAGAACTACAGCAGTCGGTCTCCTCAGTTCCCAAGCGCTTACAGAGTGTTGATAAAAGAAGAGGTGATGAAACACAGTGGTAAACATGCCCCCGTCCCAACTTTTTCGGAACATGTTGTTGGCATCAAATTCAAAATGGGCATATATTTTTCAAAAAACAATAAAATTTCTCAGTTTCAACATTCGATATGTTGTCTTTGTAGTATTTTCCTTTAAAAATATGGTTTACATGATTTGCATATCATTGCATTAGTTTTTCATTTACATTCTGCGCAGCATCCCAGCTTTTTTTGGAAACGGGGTTGGATTATATTACATTATTCTTATAAATGATAGAATAATTATGGCTTAATAGTTAGTCATATTATTTTTGAAAAGGGCATGTAAAAATGTAAACTTGTTTAACCTACAAAATAAAGTTCATAATATTTTAGTGCAAGTGAAGCCTTCTCAACGCTATTCTACAATTATAACAAACACTATATTACATATAAAACTGACTCATCACTACCAACCACTGTCAAAATATCCTCTGTAAAAACCCGAAGTGGACCAGAGAATTCGCATAAGAAGCTGAAAATAAGAAGCCAGTTTCAGCCCACCCAACTCTACAGCCCGCTCAACTTTGAAAAATGCTCAAAAATGGGAGGGACACGCTGGGAGGGGCACTGCAGTGACATACAGGTTTGGAGGTGGGGCTGCGAGGGAAACTGGGTGGGCTGGGCTGGGCTGCTGTGTTTTTAGAGCTATCTTTTCAGCAGGTCCATATTCAATAAAACTCACATTCTGATTTCTTAGATGCACTGAATTCCATATGAATAAAGTGGATTTCTTTGAACACTGTCTAAGTTTCATTCAGTTTGACATCAAGGTCGCATCACCGGTCAGCCAGGATTTGCTTCAGTGGCCCTAAATCCTTATGTTCTGCAAGCTGTTCATTGCGCTGGTGTTACATCCTATTCCGTTCCCATTCAAATTTACATTTCCTTCCCCACTCAAACCCAAGGGCGCGAACATTCAGTGAACAGAAATCAACAGCAGGCAACACTGGAACTATGGACAGCAGAAAAAATTTCAAGAAAGGCTTTACAGACAAAAGTTTAACACAGTCAGTAACAATGGGCATTTAACGTTAACCTTTCCTGAACTGTTTCGTTTTCCGTAGTTCCAGTGTTGCTTGCCGTTGATTTCTGTTCAGTGAGTGTGAAGGGAAACATGAATTGGATGCAACACCGGCAGGTTTATGGAGACTTACAAGAATCCTCACTTAATCGGCCTAACATCTTTATTACAAACTAAACTTTAAAATGTAAAATTAATTGAGCTATTTACAGTTGGTACAGACAGCTGGTGAGTTGGTGCTGGGGGTGTTTAGCTCAGCACGTGAGTGTGGTTATGACCTTGCTCTAGGCTCTTATGCTTTCATATTTATGAGTGCGGCAGGAGTTGGGCACCCCAGGGGGTAGTAACATTGGTTGACTGAATTGCATACTGTGACGTGTTATGGTGCTGTCATGTGTGGAATAAGCAAGGTGGCTGGATATAGGTGCGAGCAGACTTTAATGAACAAAACACATACACATACACACACACACACAATGAACAACACTTTAATGAACAAAACAGACTAGCAAAAATACAAAGTACAAGGTAACAAACTACAAGGTCTAAACAAGCAAGCAAACAAAACACAAGGTAGGCACACAAACACTACATGTGACAAGCGCACCAGA